CCCCCCCCCCCCCCCTCTTTCAGTACAAGACTTTCGAATAAAATAAAATACTCATAGCTTCAAAATTATACTTTGAAAGTCTTCATTCTTCAAAGAGGTATAAAGTGTTAAAACTATAATTGTATTAAAAGTAAGAATAAAAAATTAAAGTAGAGGACAACAGTGGGCATGAGAAAGCATCAATCATTATTTAGACTTTCGCAGCAAAAAGAAGTTCACCTTTGAACACTTTCATTTTTTTATTTATTAAAAATGTATTTTCTTTAATTAAACAAAAGCAGCCGGTTGCATTCTCAATCAGCCAACCGCCCAAGGTGCCGCCCCTTTTCATGTTTATTGGTGCAGTTTCATTCCTAAAGTACCCTCAAATTACTACACTGATTTACGGATTTGCCACAACTAGACCAACAAGCTTGTGGTGGTAGTCTAGTAAATAATGTCCAAGCATATGAGCAATTCAATTGCCGGGCCAGCGTGTAAATTTCGGCGCCCAGGGAAATGGACACGTGGCCAAAATCAGTGGCTAAGCGACGAATATACACGCCCCAGTGACCCAGTCAATGCTCATGGGGATTATATATACATTTGGTTTGGAAAAGATTTTGAGCGTATTTCCCTTCATATTCTAGGAAAATAATGAAACGCTAATTATATTCTTCTTGCGCTTTACATTAATTTTTCTGGTTGAAAAAGAATAGTTTTATTTTGTAATATTGTAAGCTCAATAAAAGGGAGAAGTGCAGTTTTGGAATAAAATAATATTATAAACTACTCTAATATATAAAAAAAGAAGAAAAAAATTGAATTCGGTTGTAAAAGAGTGAGCACAAGTGTGTGTTGATCAACTAACATAATCTACTTGTACAAAAAGTTGATGCGGCTCAACAGAATTTTTGCTTGTTAAATTGGTTTTCCCATCCCATCGCTCTATAGTAAATCCCACTTGGCAAATGGTGCTTCACAGCTGACGTGACACGGTGACACCTGTCACCCTCATGCCTCAAATCCCAAGTAGCCGTTGAAGGGCCCCACCAAAAATCCACAAAAAGGAGAGAAACCAATACGAAAAAAAGAGCAATATGGGAGAGATTTGGAGCGTAATTCAAGGGCTTCCTGAAGGAACCCGACCTTAACGCCGTTAATCACGGGGTCAATCCCGTCAAGGTGAATAAAAGCAACAGTCCCGTGACCCCTCTCATAAGCTGCCTTAACGTCCGTGTCCGTCGAAAACGGCGTGTTCCCTATTCCTCATTGGGCCCCCCATTTCACGCGCAAGATTAAATACTAATTGGGTTAAAAGCAAAGAAAATATAGTGTTAAAGAAAGGGAATTGATCATATTTTACGGGGAGACGTGTACTGCTGGTGCATGGGAAATGACTCAACCTAGACGCCAACGGTTAAATGAGCGCATGTTAGCTGAGCATATGTGGCGCTATCGTACGCCTTAGGAGAGCATGCATGCATGCATGGGGCCAATGGGGCATTGAGGGGATTTTAAATGGCTGGGGAACATGAGATGAGATCCCAATGTGCATCGAGGATGATGCTCCCTATCCTTATGGTAAGATCTATACCCGTCCATCCAATCCACTACTCTAAAATCATCAACATTAAAATCAGCAGGGTTGTGACCGGGTCGATAATGACGACAATTCAATTAAATTCAACGGCTAGGATTGTTGATTGGAGAGCGTGGGGCCGTAGAACAGTCTGTTTTAAAACTCATAAGCAAGAGACAAAATTGATGGGTTAGTGAAATTGATACAGTATTGTAATTTAGACAAAACTGTTGTGTGAACTGGAAGGAAGGGCAATAAATATACGTATACCTGAGCTGGCCTAGTTCGAGAAGACTATATCGTATCATGTACAGATATGGTTGGAGAAATTAGCTTCGTTGACCTTTTCTATTCAAAACAACTTTATTATTATTACCCTTACATAATTTCTTTAACTTATATATAGATTCCTTTTTGTCGTTATTAATTATGATCAAATTTGCGGTTGGTAGTAGAATGCATAAATTTATTTACCCCATCATGTATGCTACTTCCATTCCATCCCTAACTTGTTTCTCCGTTTAACTTTATAAATTTAAAATTAACTGGTACGGGTGTAATGGTCATTTAACAACTTGCATAAGTTTATCAATTAAAAATAAAATTAATCCGCGCCTTAGTAACAATAATTTAAGCTCCTGCCTGGGGATGTTTGCCTGCCGTCGAAGAAATCGAGTCCTTTTCTCTCTCTGCGACTTTTAATTAGGGTGGGGCCCAGTGGGTGGCTCTCAACCACGTCTCACGGGGTTCAGGTTTTATTCTCGTAGAGAGGGGAAGAGAAGAGATGGATGTTATCCTTTGCCACGCAATGGAGGGTGGTGGGTGGTGGGCTTCTTTTGTTGTGTATTTCAGCGCCGATTTTAGGTTTATCCTTTCTTCGCTGCCCAACCCCACACCAAAGAAAAT